GTCTCAATATCTTGTTATTGACCCGGGAAATGTTGACCCGGGAAATGTTATTTCAGGCCATCTCCCTGATGCACATCAATGTGCCCTATATTGCCTGCATACAATTGCCTGTCTTTTGAGGCAGGATATAAAAGGAAAACACCTTTGAGAGAATAGCACCTAAAGCCATCTTCAATATGTCTCTGTTGCAGGATGGTTCTGAGACATAAACAGAGGCGTACAGGCCTGTGCTCAGCAAACAATCTCATCAGGGCAAAGTGGTTGTATGACTTTGGCCTTTCCTGGCTTCAACAGAATTTTCTAAAAATATTCATTTCTAGAACCAATAGTTCTGCAGAATGTACCAAAACCACTAGACATACTGCTACGGTGCTATAAAGATAAGATTAAATTACCTCTTTTCATTTATGAACTCTGGTACCAGACCCATATGAGAATTCTAGCAGAAATCTATCCACAACAGATTTCAAACTCCATTTCCTCTAAAATGTTGGTAACTACCATTACCTGAACTAATTGAGAGCCATTATCTGCTGCTTTAACTAAAGGCCTCCTGTGACTGCTAATGCTCTTTAATATCTTCATGAGAAATAGCACACAAGGGATGCAGTCAGAGATGAGATTGAACTGACAGCTAAAAATACAGAAGACACTCCGGGGAGGCTATTTAATTCATCATTCCAGAATATGAATGGAATTATATGAGATCATCTTCCAAATCAATGGAAATAACAAACATTATTTCTGGAGAAAGAGGTCAAAACTCAACAATACTTTACTCAGATTTACATGGAACTTGTTCTTTTTATAATGCAGACTCACCGAGCTACTTCATGCAAGACTCATGGGCTCTACTAAAATAAGATGGGTACTCTGGTGCCTTACGAACATATGGTAGCCAGAAAACTAAATCTAGGTAGAACACAATATTACTACAGCTGTTGTCTACATAGGTACTATTACTGTTTATTACTGTAGCTCTGTTTACATATATGTATCAAGCCTGAAACTGACCTGACTGTGGCCCATTTTCCTTTCTGTGGGAGGGGGTCTTCTTTCCTATAGGAGTTTCTTACCACAGGCTTCAGGCTGACACAGCTTGGAGTTGAAGGGGGGGTAGAGGTAGATGTAGGTTTGTAGTCAAAACAACTTGGCTCTCCGATGAGTCAGGGACATTCCAACAGCTGACTGACCAGAGGAGGAGGAGATATCTAACCAGGCAACCAGCTAGTATCCAGATTGGACAATGTGATTAATTGTTTTGGAAAAACAGGAAACTTTTACTTTTAATGTGGTAGAAAGCATGGGAACATTCAGGGTTGGCTTTCTACCAGCTGTGTCAAGATTATTAGTATATGTGCAGAGTAACCCTTGTATAAAAAGGATATGCACACGGAAACGGTTTACGAGAACAGTTATGAATAAATATACAGCCATACAGAGTTAAACAAGTTGTGTTAATGTTTACTTGAAGAAATAGCACAGTCCAATAAACAGCCCATGTCATGCACATTTTTAACAGTCCAGAAATATCCAGTTATAAAGTCTTCTTACCGGTTTCATGTCTTTTACAGCAGACAAATATCAAACCATAATACAACAGATAATCTTCGATATCAACAGAATATCAAAATAAACAGGCTTAGTCAGTATCGGTCCGTAGTCAGTATCAAGCGAGATCATCAGTGAAAAAGAGAGTTAAACCATGATCTATAGCTCCATGGCAACTTGAAGCATAATCAACCAACCAGAACACAGCATACTACATTACAGTATTTTTTCTTAAAGCTACAAACATATATATTTGTAGTTTATATATTGTCAACCCAACTACGTTATTTACATATACATAACAAAGATGATATTTCCCAATAAAGCTGTCCTTTGAAGAATCAAGCTGCCTTGGAGTTCTATCTACAATGCGGGTATTACTTGGAACGTTGACAATATGTATTTGATTATATGCATGTTGCTCCACCGGTTATGAAGTCCTTTTCCTCACACAATAATGTGTAGCACATCTCTACTGCACATTTTTCATGTCCTAACACCAAAACATTAAGTCTGCCTCCACCCCGTCTCTGGCTGCTGCTCTTAAAGGCTAAGAAAATTCACAAAGACTTGACATCCCAATTTATTGAGCAGCTATTGGAAACAGTGAAGTTCCCCACTGCCCTGGAAACTTCTCAAACAGAACTGCTTCCATGCTGAACAAAATATATGTGTACAACCTCACATACTCTTGTTATGAATAAATTGATCCCAGACACTAATGATCTTCTAGTCCTCTGGATTTTGTAGGTGTCAACCAGGAAATGGAAACCACAGGAAGTGGGATGAGCTTCAAAAGGAATAGTTCTCTAAAATCTCATACAAGGATCCACTTGAGTAACAATCCATATTAATATCAAATCTACCTAGATATGCATGCATAAATTGCCTTTCTAGTCTAAACCAGACAGGACGACAAATTCTGATTGTTCTTTGATAAGTAGGATGTTTCTAAGTAAAAATGAGTAGCAGTGGATATTAAGTGCTTTAATTGCCCTGTCAGAAATGTGTCCAGCTTATAATTTAACTGGTGGTAGATTTGCCAATCATTTACAGAAACTCCATCTGATCAGTCTATTTTTGGTGTGTCTCAACAAGATAAAATTTGATCGGCTTCCTCTAGCTAGAGCAGATGTGCCGGCAAGAAATTCAATCTTCCATCCATCCCTTACTGGAGTTTGACTTTATTTCCCCTTTGCTTAACTGTGTTACAATCTGCTTTTCCACCTTTCTCAGTGTTTAAAGCAAACTACAGAAATATCTGAGGGGAAAAAATCATAAAGGGAATGGAATTTTACTGGTGCTGAATTAAAAACAGCAACTCAGGCTACCATATGAGTCCTAACTGTGATTTTTTTTCTTTTGTTCCTTTGTTTTTCCTCCGAAGTAAAGAGAATAAAGGGAGAATTGAAAGTTTGCAGCCATCACGAAGCACCGTCTGAGGAACTTTTGGAAACCATGGAAATAAAGTTAAGACAGCCATTCCGGGAATGGGTGGGAGCCTTTGGCATATTGGAATGTGCTCTTATACAACAAGATGCAGTTCAAAGATGGGGAAACTAAGGTTTTATCCTTAGGCAAGAAGAAAAAACAAATGTACAGAATATGCAGCACCTGGTTCAACAGCAGTTACTGGGACAAGGATTTGGGTGTCCTGATGGACAGGACTTAAGTTTGAGCCAGCAGTGTGCTTTAGCTGCAAAAAAAGCCGATACAGTCCTAGATTGCATCAACAGAGTGATGGCATCAAGATCACAGTGTGATAGTATCATTCTGTATCGTACTAGTGAGGACACATTTGGAATAGTGCATTCGGTTGTGGTCTTCATCACTGGATTGTATAAGGACTGCTCCCTTCCAGCCCTACGATTCTGTGATAGCATCTATGATTATTGTTTACATACTCAGCGGATAGCTATCTTGAGAATAGAAAAGAACCATATTTTTCCCCTTCTATAGGAAAAGAGATGAAAACTGAGTCTTAAAGAAAAGACTTTTCAGAGGAGACATGGAGGTCGTGATGACTGGCAGGCTAAATGGATACTCAAAAGCACTGACCATTAAAGGTTTGTGGTTGGTTTCAGGAACTCCGACGGCAAAACTCTTGAAGTGGTGCAGTGTGGGAAACAGGAAGGCCCACAGAAAGAAGAGGACTGTGATGAGGCAAAATACAGGAACAACCTTGGAGGACAGGTGCAACCGAGGGAACAGACAAAAGGCAACTTAGCCCACAATAACAATGTAAATAAGGCAAGCAACTCAGAAGGGACTTATTTTACTTTTTTGAGCTATAAAGGTGACAAGAGGAGAAATATATTTTCAAAATTGTAGGATTCTCTTAATGCAACTTTACAATAAAGTGGAATTATGGTAGGTCTTTGGGCTATGTTCCCTGAGTGGTCTAACTCACAATGCCAACACTCAACTATTCAATGCAAATGACTTCTGGGAAGCCAGAAGAAAGAGAGAGACCATGTTCTTCCGGACAGAAGCAGAGACTAAGAGGGGAATGTCAATTAGCTACCTTGCTTCTTTCAAAGTAGGGAGTAGGAGGGGGATTCATGGATAACAATAGATGTTTTCAACCCACCCTTAAGTTGCATACATATTAACTAGAGGAGTAGCTCACTTTAAGATACCTAGCCAGAAACACTTAAGGTAACTCAAGCCTATTTCTATGTCTTAATTGCTGCTGATCAGGAGACAGGAAGCCAGGTGAAGTGGCCCTCAAGAGTTACTGCAGGAGCTTTTCATCACTTCTTGACTTAATGAAAGAAGGCGGGTGGGGGGGGAATCACAAGTGTGTTGTCAGTTGAAGCACACCTCAGAACCCACAAAGCAATCATGGCATAAAGTATAATTTTAAAATACATCATTAAGCTTACACCATACAAAACAATATTGATCTGTCTTTCCTCTGCAATGATAGCTCATAAACAGGAAGCAAAGACATATTTGGTGATTTAAGATTTTAAATTCGAGACATCATTATCTTCTAATGTAGAAAAACACCCATTTCTGCTGTCGCCCCTCAGTATTCTTGATGGTATTCTTCATATTATGAACACTTTCACGAGAGGTGGTTTTTTTTGCATATAATTCAAAAATAAAATCCTCAAGGTGAATTGTTCCTAATGATAACATGTTAACAAATTTTATGGCTATCAGATCAAAACAATAATAGGAAAACTATATCATGAAGCCCTTTTAAAACAAGAGGGAAAACCAGAAAATATTTGCTCTTGTGAAAAAGAATCTTATACAATTACAGCTACTGATTTAATATGGCTTATTCTAGCTCTTTTTTCTGAAATTTATATTACTTGATAATTTATGAAAAATATTATAGGCATAAATAACATGAAAGATAGGCCTAAACCACTTGATTAATTGGATGCCACTAGTGCATCTGAACAAAACTCTGCAAATGAGTGATGTTTTAATTAAACATTCTGCCATTTGTAATTTTAAGCAATCCAAATTATTTTTAGAAAAATTAGGTCTTTATGCATTTTAAATATTTGGGAATAGAAATTCCAAAATAAACAAATAAGCTTTCTTAATTGGTGCCTGTGGATATATCATTTTTAAAAAAACAGTCCCAAATTGTGACAGCTTGCTAAAATTCACACTGACCTTGTGTAAAAAGATGAACACTCTAAACAAGAATATTATTTCAAATCTGATAGAATCTACTTTCACAAAGTTACTAAACTCTTTAAATTATTTTAGGTTGATTGAAGAAATATATGTATGTTAAAGGATATATGTATGTTCTTTTAAAGGAAGGACAAACCCTTAAAATATGCATAATAATTAAGATAGTAGCTAATAGTTTAATAGTGTCATTTGTTTATATTTGACATTTTTAAATCACCTATCTGCCTCAAAGAGAGGCTTAATAGCCTCTTGTAAAGTAAGACTGTGCAAGATAATCCCAACTAACATTACACATAGTTTACCCACCAGGGATGGTGTCAATGTTTCTACATTCAAGTGTAACAACAAAGATAATAATTTATAATTGCCAGCTTATTTATTAGCTGTCAAAATCAGTTATGTAGTCTTCATTAAAGGGAACTAGAAAAATCTTATTTTAAAAAATGTTAATTACAAATCTTTAATAGCACTAAGTAAAAAAATCTCAATATATGTCTTATCTATTCGATTGAACTTATATTTGGACCCTTTTCTGTCTTCACAAATTAGATCTTATATCTATTGTATCTTGAGCTATTTAGGTCCTCAACCCTGATCAATGTATATGTGAAATGTATCTGCTACTTTGGTCAAAATACAAAGATTAATAATTCTCAGTATGGACACACATCTCTCACTCATTATTTAACTGTTCCTCTACATCTGTTGAATTTGATATGAATTTGATGAATTTGATCTGTTACCTCTTTAAACTGAAGTATTACAAAGTAATAGAGGAAAATAAAAATGAAAGATAACAAACACATAGGGGTTATAGAAAGGCAGCTAGTGATATTTTTTCTTAACGTTTTATCTATAAAATAAATCGTCACTGTTTATATGACATATTCTAACATTTTCGGTCTAAAAAACTAAACCCCTTCCAAAATATCTTAAATAAACCAAAGAAAAAAAACACACACCCCAGCAGCTGAAGAAGAAAACAATTTGCAAATAGATTTTAGTAGTTTAAAAAAATTGGGGAGGGCCTGTTTTGCAAGGGGTGGGAACTAATGTCGTAGCAATGTATTAATCAGTATTAATCAGCATTCAATAAGGAGGGATCATTTTTGTGGGTTTTCCCCCCTTTTTCTTTGTTTTTGAATTTTTTTTGGGGGGGGGGGAATATTTGGTTTTGTATTTTGTGTTTTAGCTTTATCTTAAATAAAATAAAAATCTAAAACAGTAATGTAAAAAAGAAAAACAGAAACAGGTAGTCCTCAACTTACAACAGTTCATTTAGTGACTGTTCAGACTCACAACAATCCTGATACAGTGGTGCATGACCGTTTTTCATACTTATGATCATTGCAGCATCCCCATTGTCACGTGATCAAAATTTGGACAGTTGGCAATTGACTCATATTTATAACGGGTGCAGTGTCCCTGGGGTCATGTGATCACCTTTTGCAACCTTCTAACAAGCAAAGTCAATAGGAAAGCCAGATGCTCTTAACAATTGTGGTACCAACTTAATAAAATGGTCAAAATTCGCTTACCAAATGTCTCACTTGGCAGCAAAAATTCCATTGTGGTCATAAATTGAGCATACAGTGTAAGCATACAGCCACTATGTAGGACAGGTAGGCAGAAGACTAGCAAAGTGCATCCATAAACACCAAGTAGGCGTCAGACGATACAATGAAAACATCTCAAACTCACAGTACAGCAAGAACTATAATTTTATCAGGGAAACTGTGTGCATCCTAGACCAAGGTAAAACCAAAAATGCTAGGGTATTCCTGGAAGCTTGGCATTCAGACAAAGAAACCATTATTTATTTATTTATTTGATTGATTGATTGATTGATTGATTGATTTGTCAATCACTTACAAGATAATAGGCATAAGTATAAACATGAGTAAGAATACAAGAAATACGTACGAATAAATGGGGACAATAGGACAGGGACGGGAGGCACAATGGTGCACTTATGCACACCCCTTACAGACCACTTAGGATTGGGGTGAGGTCAATAGTGGATAGTCTGAAGTTAGAGGAGTGGGAGATTAAGGGTGTAACAAGTGAGTCAGGTAGTGCATTCCAAGCATTGACCACTCTGTTGCTGAAGTTCTACTTTCTGCAATCAAGTTTGGAGCAGTTAACCTTGAGTTTGTATCTGTTGTGTGCTCTTGTATTGTTGCAGTTGAAGCTGAAGTAGTCATTGACTGGTAGGACATTGTAGCAGATAATTTTGTGTACTACGCTTAAGTCCAACCATAGGCGGCGTAATTCAAGATTGTCCAAGTCTGGTGATATAGGGTATTCTGTTGCAAGCAGAGAAGTATAGTACTCTTCTTGTGAAGTACTTCTGGACTCGCTCAATTGTATTAATGTCTGATATACAGTGCGGATTCCAGACAGATGAGCTATATTTGAGGATTGGTCTAGCAAAGGTTTTGTATGCCCTAGTTAGTAATTCAGTATTTCCAGAGGAGCTTTGTAAGAGTAGATTTACAACTCTCAATGCCTTTTGGCAATCCTATTACAGTGAGCTCTCGCGCTTAGATCTTTAGCTACTCCAAGGTCCTTGACAGAGTGAGGGTCATCAATGAGGTCATATCCACCTAGCTTGTATTTAGTGTACTGATTTTTTTTAACCAACGTGTATAATACATAGAGATAAACTATGTTTACCCACCATTCAAAAAAATCAATTAAAAAAAGCTAGAAAAAATTGAAAGACCAAAACATCAACCTATGTGTAATAATGGGATGTCTTATCCCAGGCACATCTCTTTACTTTTGCTTACTCTGAGTTACAACTGCCATTTTAATATCCATTTCCCAGTTTGAAAAGATCCACTTAGAGCTTTTTAATTTAACTCTAATCATTACCAACACATTTAACCTTCTTTGCATGACTGCAGAAAAGTTAGGAGAACAAGTCTGAATTCCTTTTATTGGTTTATCTTATTCTCTTCAAAGCAATACCCATTATGTTTTCATCTATCTGACTTACATTATCCATGTAATAGTATGGAAACTTTTCTCTGTTCAGTCATTGATCTTTAGCTGGAATATTTATTCCAACTGACCCCATCAAGGAGAGAGAAAAAATAAGCGAAGGAGGCAGACACTATGGTCATTTTGCAGACTAACAATAACAACTTAAAGAGAGACCATCTTTTCTGCTAACCTACTTTGATTTGTACTTTTTGCCTGGCAGTAGCTTCACCAGACAGTGTGGTTCATGCGGTGAGCCTGGGGATATAGGATTTTCTTCTATTCCTTTTCCAGTCCAGTGGATCCACACCTCAAATTTTATTATCTCATCTCACCATCTGTTTGGATCTAATGAACCCCTTGGGCAATTCTTTCCTTTCCCAAAGGACAGAGATTTCAGAAAACAGGATAAGCTGAAGAAAAACTGCAGCAGTATTCAATGAGATACTATGGACTAAAACAGATATAATAACTTATAGCCATCTGCATGTTGTATGAACTAAAGTGAATACAACCATCTGGGAAAATATTAGGTAGATTTCAGTGAACGAGATGGAACAATTATCAACCAGAAGATAGATTCAAGGTAAGGCCTTTGAAATATACAAGCAATAGGTTGAGATCGGTAATTCCACTGAAACATTTGTGAATATCATGCACAGCAACACATCAATTAAACTGAAAGTTAAATCTGAAAATTAATGAGAGAATAGGAGAACATGCAACGCCAGATATACAAAATGTTTGATGGATAATAAACTAAATGTTTTTCTGACAAATAGTCTAATGAAAACTCTTAGATGTGGACTATTTTTGTGTCATTTTTGAATAAATATTTGGCATTATTTGAAATGTCCTCATTTACAGAAGGACTTCCAATCTTCTTTCTACAACTTTTCATAGAAAGACCATCATCATTTGAATGAACATCATCAGCATAATCACCTAAAAATGAACTGCCAAATCTTTTGAAATTTGCTAAATTCTAAAGATAGCTCTGTTCACAACCCATAGCTGAAAAATAGTGTTAAAGGTTGTTAACCCAGCCAGCAAAAAATCCACAGTTCTTCTACAATTTCAAACTTCTTCCATATCCTGAAGGATTACAACTAGATCTTCTCAAGCCCCATCACCACACTCCAAATTTTCAAATAGACATTTCATCTCAAATAGTCCACAGAGCTACCTTCTGGTAGTAAGATGGGTAACCCTAAGCAAATCTGAACTTCCTTCTGGTCAGTTACCACTTTTATCCCTAAAACTGAGGGTGGGTGAACTATCCATGTATTTACACTCTTGGATAGATAAAACAAATATAGAATTTAAAATTCAGAAACCCCAATAAAACACTAATGTAAAGTGTAAAATACAGAACAAACAAAACATAAAAGCTCTGAAACAATTCATAATGCAAAGGGGATCTCACCTGGCTTCTACAAGCCATAGCTATTGCAGGAAAGTTGGTGAACTTTGTAGTGGTTTTTCAAGTTACAATGTGCAGAAGGAAGGTTGTAATTTTATCAGAAAGAGAGCTAAAGTTTCTGATAAATGGGTTCATGAGTGCCAGATACCATGGGTAGCGCAATGGACAGTCTAGCAATACATGGGTGATTGACTCCACCTCTATATCAGAAAGGAAGCACTAACAATTGTTGTGTGGAAGACTTATTCTGTTCATTAGAGTCAGTGTACCAATTCAAGTCAAGGTAAAATGTTTCCTGTGTGAGATATTCAGGGTTTTATAGGAGTGGTCAGAGATTATCCATGGAGAACTTGCAATTGCACTATAATAGGTATGGATGATTTTGACCCTGTCATTTTATAGGTCAGAAAATTTGTTCTGATCATTGGCCAATAAAAATACAATTAAATGAACAACACAAAACTATCCCCTAACAACAAGAACTATTAGCAAACATTTCTGCGTGAAGCTTACACATAATGTAGCAAATTTTTGCTACTTTTCGAGAAATAAATTGATTACGTGATCAGATAGTGCAAATAAAAGCTATCAGAATGCCCCAGGAATTTAAATAAAAAAGTAATCAACTGGTGGCAAATGTTCCCGTGGAACTGGCCAAGTAGAACACGGGTTGTGGTTTTTTGGCACTTGTATCAAAGAGGCAGCATCAGGTTTTATATGGGGTTTTCCTTTATTTCCCTTCCAGGACAATTGTGGGAATAACATTAAACTGAGCTAAAGATAATTTCCCTAAATTTGGGGGTGTTATATGATATGAATATGAGGCTGATTTCAACACTAACATTTGGTTATGTGCAATTATGTTGTGAGGGAAAGCAGCAATTTCTCATACTCGTTTCTCGTTAAGGTGGCAACATTGGAGAAACATTAGAGGCTCAGTTTCTTCTGCATTATTAGTTCCCAGGAAGATTTGTAATTGTTTGCTAATATTAGATGCGTCAGCCAGCTAGGACTGTGGTGTAGTTTCAACCAGTAGATTTCAAAAATATTTGTCTTGGGATTACATTCAGATTTACTGACTCCTGCTTCCTGTTGAAGTACTCCATTTAGAAAAACAGCAGGTAACCTGGAAGATACGTCTTAGACATTTTGTTTGAATCCTTTCTAAAGTGATCATGCTGTTATATGATCCCAACTGAGCCCTATATACCAGTTCTGTTTTGGCTTTAGCTGCAAAAATCTCAATTGTAATAGGCATAAACTGTTCCTCTGGATAATAAATTTATATAGCTAATGCAGATCTCTGTGCATTGCAGGATACATAGAAATACAGGTATTAATTTCTGATTTCTGAGACTTGAAAGCCTACTACTAGATATCTAAAAACCTTAACCTTTCCAGTAGACTTGCCATCTTCTCTGTTTTGGCGTATTTTGCAAGTTGGGATCCAGATCTGCTCTTTGTGTTCAATTATGGTTTTGACTGGGCCGAGAGACACGACTGCCTGGAGTAAGATGCCATGGTATATTAGAATGGAATCAATTGCTTTCTCATGAATAAGGAAAACCTATTCAATGGGGAGAGCAGAACCAAAGACTGACCCCAACGGATTTGTTTCAGCGCAAATCTGAGGTTTGGCAAGCCCTAGGAGAAATGCAGCCAAGTTCTAACCATTTGAACTTGAATGTGGGACATGGAGTATGGATTTCAGAAATTGGATTAGATTGAATGGGCACTAAGGTTGGGCATCCGTATAACTCCTTATAAACAAAGAATTGTAGATCATATAACTGTAACTCCAGGACCTCTTCTTTAAATGGTTTTATTGTTGCAGGAATGCAAACATTGTCACAATGATTAGTGTAGCAAGTCAGCACCCACTCCTCCTAGAAGAACGAAATATTTTGGGAAATATTTTAAAAAGGCAGAATATTATATTTCCCCCAAGGGAGAAATGGAGAAATGTTTTTAGAGGCAGAAAGAAGCTCCCACTTTCCTTAATAGCCCACAGCAGATGTCAGCACTTAAGAGATAAAGAGCTTATTGAAAGAAGCCAAGTATCTAGTTGGCTCTATTCATAGGCAAAGCAAATACTGCAGGCAGAAATCAATTCAAGACAGGATATTTTGAAACTCCCTGCAGCAAGGTCTGAACAAAGGTAGGATTAGCCCTCAGCCACAGTAGGCATTGTTCAACACCCTTTCAGTTGCACCTCCCCCAGCAAACTTCAACCAAACCTGGGAGCTCAGACAAATAAAAAGTGCAAAGAAGGTATAAACCCCCCTCAACTCCATTTTGTCAGCTGCACCAGAACCGTGAATGCTGGTGGCTCTGTTCATCATTAAACCATCTTTCCAATCAGCCTCCATGTTTCCATGGAGTCTTTCTCCCAGCTTGGAACTGAAGCAGATGGATATTTCTTCCCACATTAGCATATCACATGAGAAACCTTTTGAACTCTAATAAAAAGTTCACTCAGTTGGTTGCTCCAGTGGTTAGAGGTTTGGAATGAGATGCCTCAGTGATTGAAATAATTGAAGAATAAAATGGGTGTGTGCCTATGTGAGAGAGTGAGTGAATGATAGTTTTGTTCTTTCCATTTTCTATGCTTGGGGAATCTTGGCTGGTGAAAAGTTCTAGAATGATCTCTAGCCAGTGCCCCTCATTTGGTAGAGCAGGAAATACTAAGCAGATGAATCTTCCTCCTCTGCAACAGAAATAGGTTATAAAGCACATTATTTACTTCTGTGGGCCCATTATAGTATGCCTCATTAAACTAAAAGACAAAACCAGTATTTTAAATGCTCTAACAAAAGTGAGAACACTTGCACCCACAGAAATTAATTATTATCAGTCACTATAAAGAATGATTTCCCCAATTTTCCAACACAGAATTATCCATCTGGGTATGAGACAGAAAAAGACCATAAAAATGCAAACACCAAAAGCTATACATAAAGCTACCTCAAGTTAAAGAGAACCACAGCTCCCACTTAATCAGCTAAAAATGCATGGCCAGATCTGAAGTTTCCAGTATCTGTTAAAGGGACCAATCTAATCCCTATGATTGGGATAATCCATTTTCTATTTAAGAACCATCTTAAAGGGAAGATAGATAGTCCCTATCTTAACTCTTATGTATGCAGGAATGAATTCCGAAAAGAGAAAATAGTCTAAATCGATGAATTCAACAATACATTTTGGTGCTCAGTAAAACATTCTCTTATGGAACAGTGCATACAAGTTTTAGATCATTTAGACAATATTCATCATTTTCAAAAATTTTCCAATACATTTTCTCTCTTTTTAAATTATGTTTATTATTTTGCTTACAATGCATGGAACTTTTAAGCCAGCTCCCCAGAGCTAAAGAATCCACTTTGTGTGGTTCAAACAAGCTTCATCCAGTATCCCTGTAGAATGTCCCATTTTTCAAAGCTTGTGTATTCAACTGGAAACTTTAAATAATCTAATTTTATGCACCCCAATGCAAGGGATATATCAGTAATAAGTCCAAATGAGCTGAATAGAAGTTAACTTTGTGACTTGTAAAGTTCAGTGTCAACCAAGCTGTTGATTCCTCTTATTCCATAGAGGCGCAGAGGTTAGAATGCAGTACTGCAAGCTAATTCACTGCTCACTTCAGGAGTTCGATTCTGACTGACTCAAGGTTGACTCAGCCTTCCATCCTTCCAAGGTTGGTAAAATGAGGACCCATGCAGGGGGGGGGGGCAATATACTGACTCAGTAAACTTCTTAGAGTGGACTGTAAAGCATTATGAAGCCATACATAAGTCTAAGTGCTATTCCTCTTCCC